GTGGCAGGATAATAAAGGACACTAATTTATCCTAGCAGTGACAGCTTTTGTCTTTTATTTTTTCCTTCTGGTCTGAATATCTGTGCCGACCGTTTCACGAGCCCTTTTGATAAAGAATTTCATAATACAAGGCCCATGATCACTCTGGATGAACTGCAGAGATCTACAGCTGAGGTGGTAGAGTCTGTCCATAGGACAACAATCAGTCGTACACTGCACAAATCTGGCCTTTATGGAAGAGTGGCAAGAAGAAAGCTATTTCTCAAAGATATCCATAAAAAGTGCAGTTTAAAGTTTGTCACAAGCACCTGGGAGACACACCAAACATGTGGAAGAAGGTGCTCTGGTCACATGAAACCAAAATCCAACTGTTTGGCCACAATGCAAAACGATATGTTTGGTGTAAAAGCAACACAGCTCATCACCCTGAACACACCATCCCCACTGTCAAACATGGTGGTGGCAGCATCATGGTTTGGGCCTGCTTTTCGTCAGCAGGGACAGGGAAGATGGTCAGAATTGATGGGAAGATGGATGGGGCCAAATACAGGACCATTCTGGAAGAAAATCTGTTTGAGTCTGCAAGAGACCTGAGACTGGCAAAAGGTTGAAAAGTTCAAGGGGACCGAATAATATTGCACGCCCCTCTTTTCTGTTTTTTATTTGTTAAAAAAGTTTGACACATCTAATAAATTTCATTCCACTTCACAATTGTGTCCCACTTCTTGTTGATTCTTCACAGAAAATTTAAATTTTATATCTTTATGTTTGAAGCCTGAAATGTGGCAAAAGGTTGAAAAGTTCAAGGGGACATAATACTTTCGCAAGGCTCTGTATATTAAATACTGGACTGTAGCACTTAAGATTAGCTATTTTTCTTTAATTTACTTGATAAACTGGTTCCTAAAAATAGTTTTAGCATTAGATGAAGCCAGTGGAAAGTCATCCGCAGTAAGATATAGTGCATGTGTGTGAATGAGAGTAAGGCAGGTGGAATAGTGAGGCTACATGGAGCAGAAGTCACAAAGGTGTAGGACTTCAAGAACTCGGGGTCCACTGTCCAGGAAAATAGGGAATGAGGTAAAGAGGTGAAAAAGAGAGTCCAGGCAGGATGGAGTGGAAAAAAGTTTTAGGAGTGATTTGTGACAAAAGGGTGTCAGCAAAGGTCAAAGGAAAAGTTTTCAAGACATTGGTGAGACCAGTTTTGTCTGGATAAAATGGCATTGACAAAAAGACAGGAGAAAGAACTGGAAGTGGCAGAAATGAAGATGCTAAGGTTCTCCTTAGGAGTGACAAGAATGGATAAGATTAAGAATGAGATCATCAGAGGTACAGCACAGGTTGAACAACTGGGAGATAAAATTAAAGAGGCCAGACTGAGATGGTTTGGACATGTCCAAAGGAGGGACAGTGGGTATATTGGTAGAAGGATGTTAGAAATGCATCTGCCACTTTTAGTTCTGTCTCCTGTCTTTTTGTCAGTATCACTATCTCCAGACCATAAAACATAACTGGTCTCACCACAGCCTTGTAAACTTTTTTTTTAACTTTTGCTGCCACTCTAGTCTCAAATCACTCCTGAAACTTTTCTCTATCCACTCCATCCTGCCTAGACTCTATTTTTCACCTCTTTATCACATTCTCCATTTTCCTGGACAGGTGACCGCAAGTACTTGCAGTCCTGCACCTTTGTGACCTCTGCTCCTTGTAGCCTCACTGTTCCCCCGGCCTCCGTCTCATTCACAAACATGTACTCTGTCTTACTCGGCTGACTTTCATTCCTCTTCTTTCAAGTTCATACCTTCACCTCTCCAAGTTCTCTTCCACTCGTTCTCTGTTCTCACCACAAATCACAATGTCATTTGCAAACACCATAGTCCACAGGGATTTCTGCCTAACCTCATCTGTTAGTTGGTCCATCACCAGAGCAAACAAGAAGGGGCTCAGAGCTGATCCTTGATGCACTCCCACCTCCACCTTGAAGCTATCTGTCACTCCTACAGCACATCTCGCCTCTGTCCTGCTGTCCTCATACATGTCCTGTACCAGTCCAACATACTTCTCTGCCACTCCAGATTTCCTTATCCAATACCACACCTCTTCCCTCGGCACCCTGTCATATGCTGTTTCTAAATCCATAAAGACACAATGGAGTTCTTTCTGACCCTCTCTGTACTTCATCAGCATCCTCACAGCAAAGATGGTGTCTGTAGTGCTCTTTCACAGCATGAAACCACACTGCGGATTATAAATAGTCACCTCTCGTCTAAATCTAGCTTCGACAACTCTCTCAGATCTTTATCATGTGGCTCATCAACTTAATTCCCCTGTAGTTGCTACAACTCTGTACATCACCCTTGTTCTTAAAAATGGGTACCAGCACACTTCTCTCCATTCCTCAGGCGTTTTCTCACCCTCAAATATGCCACTGAATATTTGAGTAAAAAAAACTCACTGCCAACTCTCCAGAACATTACCAAACCTCCACTGGTATGTCATCAATTTCCTTCTTCTTTCTTTTCAGAGCTTTTCAAACTTAATCCTCATTAATCATTTCCACTTCCTGGTCCACAGTTTCTATTACCTCTACTCTTCTATCACTTTCATTCTCTTCATTCATTAGCTCTTCAAAGTACTCCTTCCATCTTCCCGTCACACTCTCCTCACTTGTTAGAATGTTACCATTCCTATCTTTCACAAGCCTAACCTGCTGCACATCCTTTCCAGCCTGATCCCTCTGTCTCACCAATTGGTACAAGTCCTTCTTGCCCTCTTTAGTGTCCAGCCTCCCATACAGCTCATCATATGCCTTCTGCTCTGCCTTTGCTACCTCCCTCTTTGCTCTATGTTTCATCTCCTTATATGTTTCCATCCATCCATTATCTTTACCCGCTTCTTCCTTTTTGGGTTGTGGGGATCCTTATCATATTTTACTAGAGTAGCCCAGTCATCTGGAAGCTCTTTTTTTTACCAAAATGTACAGTTACAACTAAAGAGGGAAAAATAAATACTTACTCTTTAATTTAGACCGTATTTTGTTGGCCAGTTTCTTGATGTCTGCCATTAGATCCTCAAGCTCAGCTTTAGTCTCTGAGGAAGAGAAAGGACAGAAATTAGAGGACTTGTTTAAACCACACATATAAAACTCGACCAGGCTCCCAAAGTGAGTTCTACAGACACTGAATCGACAGTGAAACACAGGAATCGTTCCTCTCAACTGGGATCAATGGCTGATCAGCTTCAGTTGGCAGTTGAACAAGTTGTTACTTTCAGCATATAAACGTCACTCAGCTCAGTTCTCTGTCAAATATAACCTCCAAATATCACATTATTCTGTATATAACACAAGCATTGAAGTCACATAGGTTAGTGGGTGGTTGAAAATGATCAATCTAACATGATGGCAACAGTAAAGTTAAATTACACAGAACCAAAAACACCCAAAGGTTGTAGTTTCAAAGGAAATGTAAATACATATGTACATATATACAATATATATATACATACATATACTCTTGGCATAAAAAGTAAATAAATTTGTGTTTGGTTGAATATTTCTTTGCTGTATTAATCTTAGCAATACATTTTATGTCATTGCAAAGACTGTATTTCTCCCTAAATGGTGTCATATCTGTTAGGAAAATACATTTTGGTGTTGAGCAGCAGAGTTAATTTTAGTTGTGCCCATGAAAAACAGCACAGGTTATTCTGTTCCAAGCATATTTTGTTACGGATTCTTGTTTGGTATTATTTATTGGATGTGTGATAGGCAATTTAACATTTTTTTTAACAGGGGCCAAAGTAGTATGTGGAAGAACCATACACAGCCACAATAAACTGGCACCTCCCCCACATGCTGCTCATCAGTTTGGTCACAAAATGCTATTGAATAGCATTCCATTCTTTTTACCTGCATTTGTCACAAGTCAGACGATGTGGTTGTGTTAATCACTTAGGAACAAACCGTACACCTGAGATGACCCCACAAGTGTTCAGTGGGGTTGAGGTCAGGACCGCAGGTAGGCCATTCAATCTTCTCCACAACCAAATGCTGAACTTAGTCTCTGATAAACTCAGCTTTATGGAGGTGAGCTTTGTCATCTTGAAGAATAAAATGTCTCAGGTGGTGGACATACGGGAATGCTGCTGATTGCTCACAGAACTGTGGTATTTAAAAAAACTCAAAACAAGAGTCAATAGCAAAATAAATTGCTTAGCATCAGAAGACAAGCTTTGGCAACCTTTTCATCCACATTGAAGGATAAATTAATAGGTTTTCTAACAGCCTAAAATCTGTGTCAAGAAAACAACAAAGAAATAATTGACCAAATACAAATTTCCTTACTTTTTGTGGTATATTTATGTGTTGCTAGAAAGAAAACAACTGCCATAAAATCTTTATTTGACCTGAACAATAAAGTGGACCAGTAAAGTACTAAAGTTGCCCTGGAGTATTGTTAAAAATCTTCTCTGATGCTGTGTTGGCATCAGCTCCTGTTTACAGTCTCTTGGGTAGAATCATTCATGGAAGGAGATGAAAAGGCTGAATAAATGGCTCAGTAATGGCAGCTCTGTCCTGGGGAGTCCACAGACTCAACAAAGGCACACAGCCAAGCTTTCATCCATCATGGACAACACCTCCCACCCCCGACACACTGAGGGTCCCAAGAAGTGCCACCATTGACAAGTTCATACACCTACATTGTACAAACAAGCTTTCACTGGATCTTTTGTACTGTTAATTATAGATATGTCTATTCATTGTTATTCTTAAAATAAGATACGTACATTAAATGATAACTGATATTTCCAAATTTCAGAAATGTTTTGACTTTTGATGGCATTAATTATCTGCATGGCATTAATTTGGCCTCCATTCATTCAACCTTTATTTAGACAGATAAGTTACATTGAGCATAAAATACTCATTTACAAGTGAGATCTGTTTAGACAGACAATAAAAGTAGTGAAACTGGACACATGTAGGAATTGGAGGCGAAAAATTTCCTATCAGACTTTTTTTTCCTGCCTGAGAAGAAAAAACTCTGATATTAAAAAACATCTTGCACAAACAAGCACATAGTGACGTAGACATTCTGCAGGGGTGGGGGGGGGGGGGAGAGAGATGACGAGAGCGGTGAGCATGATTATAGATGCTCTTGAGGGCACTGTAAGAGTTCTAATAAAGATGGAATAATCAGCCAGTGTCCTCTGGTGAGATTCATAAACATTCTCGGGGTATGTCGAGAAATGGCCAAGAATAACGTCTATGAGAATCCAAGAGTCCTGAAATGATGTCACAAAGTTTATTCAGCTGGTTTCATCTGGTTGTCAGTTGGAAATTCCTCAGGGAGGGGGTGGTGAGTGTCAGATCACATGTTCACCAAGTGACTTCAGATAAGATGACCTTCAAGACCAGCCAAGGGAGCTAAATTCAGATAAACACACAGTTGTTTTGGGGACAGGCAGAACTTAATGACATCTACCTTGAGTCTGTGTTGGTCCACTCAGTTCTGAAATGTCCAAATTACATGGCCACACCGATGGAACGTGACTGAGTAAAATCCCCGAGATCTGATCCATTCTGCCCAAAGCATTTGAGTCCGGGTACTCGAGACACGAACCAAGCCATCATAAAGGCAAGCAGCATGATCATAATAATCCGAAGCATAACAACCTGAAGCATAACGACCTGAAGCGTAACGACCTGAAGCGTAACGACCTGAAGTGTTACAACCTCAAATGTTTCAACCTAAAGCATAAAAATTTGAAGCATAATAATCTGAAGCATAACAACTTGAAGCGTTAACAACCTAAAGCATAATAATCTGAAGCATAACAACCTGAAGCATAACAACCTGAA